GTGATGTATAGATCAGAGACCATCTTACGTAGTCTTCTTCTTCTTTTCACTTATATTTGTGCCAGCATGAATAAGATATTGATGCCAGCGACCACGAAAGGATATTCCCACTCAGCTCTAGTTCCATCTTGTTTATGTAACAAACTTTGGAAAGATTCCTATCATGAGATTAAAAGGCAGAGAACTATGTTAGATACGTTGTTGCATCAAAGATATATATGTCAATGCTGGATAGGTCTTTGCAAAGAAAATTAGATTCTCCAGTGATATAATCAGGATGACCAACAAGAACCTAACAACAAACAAATCTCCCTCTCAAAACAGGAAAGAGACACAACAACTATGCATCAAAAATAGAGCTTCTCGATCTAGCAAGCTAAACACCAACCATAAGGGAAAGTGTCTCTCATCCACTCCTCATCCACAATGTCTATAAACATACCTAGACTCACTTCTACCATTGGAATCCCTCAAAGATTTCTACTGAATAAATGCTCAAATATCAGATGACAAACCAACAAAATACACATAAATAACTGAAAAAAAATCTATAGAAAACTTCGTCGGAAAGAGAAGAAAAAAAGATTAATGTTTCTATTCAGGAATTTCGTCGAGCAGGTTGTGAGCAATCAAGCAAAATAGAACCAGATACAAAACTCAAACCCATGAAGGGAGATACGAGGTTCATCACGAAAAAACCTTTCTTGGATTGGATTAGTCAAGAGAATTTGTAGAGAGAGACCTGTTAAAGACAATGGAAGGAGAAAGGCAAGCAGTTTTCAGAAAAAAATCAAACCTTTAAATCCAATTAAACAAATCTTCGAGCAATCAAGCTAGAAACATTTAAAAAATTGATACTTTCAAATCCAATTGAACCAAATTTCGAGCAATCAAGCCAGAAACATTTACAAAATCCGGTACCTGATCCGCGAAAATCTAACAACGAGCTAGAAACCGAAGAAAGAAAAAAAACAAGACGCCACGTCAACAAGGACCTAGTAATTTTAATCCTTAGCTAAGGATTACTCCTTAGCAAATCCTTAGCTTATTTTGGTTTTATATTATTATTATATTCACTTTAGCTTAGGATTATGTGTCAAGGATTCCTATAATCCTCCGTTGCAGCTGGTCTAAGATAAAAGGTGTAAGATCAAAGAGAAAGGAAAAAAGGTCCATTCAATAGGCCTAAAGTTTATAATTTAATTTAAATAAAAGGCTCTTGCACTGGGCCTAAAGCCTCTAATTTAAAACACACCACAGTTGTAAGATAACTGTCACTCGCATTGGGTGCAATACAACTAAATTATGTTCGTGGTTGTAGTTTCGGTCCTTCGAAAATCTTATTCGTCGGATTCAAGGTATTCCGATGAAGTCCTTCTTTCACGTGTAAGAGTCTTACCTGGGCATTCGGGTAGTCGGGTCGGGTTCAAATCGGGTCCTTTCGGGTTCGGGTCTTTCGTGTCTAGGAGTTTAGGACTCGATAGGGTAATTTTAAATTTTCGGTTCCGGTTCAGTTCGGGTCGGGTCTTAGATAGTTGGATCCATTCGGGTAATTAGAATTTATCGATTCGGATTTGGTTCGGTTCCGGGTCGGATTCGGTTCGGGTTCGACCTAAAAAATACCTAAATATATAAAAAAATATCTGAAAATATTTATATATCCGAAAATATTCAAAAATTGTGTTTTCATTATATTAAAATGTGTATATATATTAAAATATGCGAGATACAACAACAATTCATTGTCTCCTAGTGGTTGATCCCCTTACTATCTATAGAAACAACGCGTCTTCGACTTCCCCTCAATGCATTTTATTTAATTTACACTATTAATTCGGGTACCCATCGGGTTTCGGGTTTGGTCCGGGTCGGGTCCAAGACCCGCGGGTCCTCTACAACAAGACCCCATAGGGTAATTTGACCGGGCCGGTTCCTACCCGGACCGGGTTTTTTCGGGTCGGTTTCGGATCGGGTCTTCGGGTCCGGGTAAAATGCCCAGGCCTATGTAAGACTAAAAGCTGCAAAGGAATTTTAGATGACCATATGAACTAGATAGATTTGATTAGACTAAGACACGAGTTTCTGGCTACTGACCCGTACATTGATCTCGTGTGCGATTTGTTGCCCACAAATTCCACTAGTATATAGCAAGATTACAAGCACTAATGGATCTGTTTTTACTTTCTTTACACATGTATTCTCTCTATCTCTCTGGAAAAGATAAGCAACAAGAAGAAACTCTAAAGTGCCACAACATGATCAAGAGATAGCAATAAACCCTAGAAGTTATAAGTCTTGTTACTTATATCTCAAGTTTTTGTCGACCTGTTTATCTAGTTGGAATGGGCCGTGCGCGCACGTCTAAATAAGCCTGTAAAGTCAAATATATGTGCATTCGCGCAAGAGTGATAATTGAGGTGAATGAGCTTATTTCCTTTTACATGGATCAACTAGGTTGTTTTGTGGATCTCAACGACTAGAGTGACCTTAAGTTGTAAAAGCATTGGGCTCGCTTGCCACATACAAGTTTCTTGCATAAATATTGCTAACAAAACTACAAAAGCTTTGAAGACCAATTCAATGTGATTCAGTGGACTATCATATTCAATCAAAACTAAACAATTCAATTATTCAAACAAACCTAAGACAAAAACGAACGGCGGACCGTACAAGTGCAACAACTACAATTATGGAGTGGGAAGCTTCTTTGCTTGATTAATCATTCTATATGGTCAACAAATATATACTCATCTTGATGACCAAGTCCAATCGTAAAAGTAGGGGTCTTGTCTTATATCTGACTAATTCTTCAGCTAAACACAGTATTTGAACACAATATATAATCATACCATTACTGATTAATGTAATGATTCAAACTGTGATTATTCAAACAAAAAAGTATTCTTATAAAGATGTTGTATATCTGAGAGTTGCCATACTGTAGTAGTAGTTGGAATTCGTGAACGACCGAGAGAATATCAAATAAGAATGTGCATAGAAATATAAATTTGTTTACTTCTGGTTACTGAAATCATGTATTATATGAGTAAAAGGACCAAATAAATGAGTAACTTATGTGTTGGAAAAAAAGACCACATACAAATTATGAATTTGTACTTAAGATGAGTAAGACTATAATGACAGGTGAAATGTTGGTAGTCTATATGAAATGTTTGCCAGGTCTTTCTTTAGAACCCCTCTCCTCCTGACGTAGCTCACCACCTGAAAAAAGAAGTAAAACTAGTAGTAAAGTTCCATATATTTTACAAACAAAGCATTGGTATATATTTAAGTTTGGTGTTAAAGCAAATACTGATTTTCTATATATTTCCTGTCATTATTAGATCTCTGTTGCAATTTAAATCCTATACAAATGTATGTATATTGTTCTATATAAATTTGTCTACCTGGTAACATAAAATGTGTATGTATTTTTAATTTTTACTCTGAGTTATTCTCTCCATCAGAACAATAGGGCCGTTGTACTTATGACGAATTTTGTTGACAAGATAAAATATAACCAATGTATATCTTTTTATAACTCATATATTATTAATTATAAATTAGAAGATCGTATTTATATGAAATTTAAAAGAATATGATCTAATTCACATATTTTAATATTTCGACTCTGCAAAAACATTAGAGTTTCCAGAATATTAGTTTGGTTCTTCGTTCTACTCTTATTCAGCTTTGTTGTCAAGCTCTTCTCCATCAGCCAATATGAAACCCTAATCTCACTTCTGATATTAAAAGTAACGGATATAAGTAGAGATAGTTAGATAATTTGTTCAAGGAGGCCAAAGTTTAATCTTTCTAGCACATAAATCGATACTATTCCTTGTCCAACGAATACCGTTTGTTAGAAAATAACTATCCGTTACTGAGGTCACAACTCATAATTTCTGTACAACATCTAAGGAGACTTGTATTTATTAATTAGAAGACCTCGTGTGAATTGAAATAATTAAACGTTTTGGTTTCACAACGGTCACCAAATGGAAACCAACGAAAGAAACAAACAAAGAAGGCTCCTCTCAGTCCCCAACGGTCACTTGCTGAGAAGCTGCGACCGCGACCAGCAAATATTATACATCCAATAAAATTACAACTCGGTAGCTCTAACGGGACCCATAACGGTCCTAGAATCTGTTTCATTCAGTATATAAAAAGAAAAAATAAATTAAAAAAAGTGAAGAGTTATCAATCAACACTTCTTTAACACAGATACGTTACCTAGTAGAAACGCCACATGCCCAAGTAGACGTGTTCTTGACTTAAACTGAAATGTCCGTTTAATCCTCACAAAGCAGATCAAACAAAAATGCGTACACATTCGTAGTTCTGGTTTGGGGGCGGTGAAGTACAATTTTGCCCTCTAGGATTCTCCTCTGGTGTGTTGCTGTATTTCCTTGAATTTTATACTCACCGACGAGCCTTTTCTATATAATTTGAAATGCTCTTTTCTTTACAGAATTAGTTCTACACTTCTACTCCACTATACATAATTTGTTTATGTTATCTTTGCACATTTTATGCATTGTTAGAGGGGAATTGCTACTTGGGTGGATACTTGTGATAAAAGACCAACTCACTTTCCAACAAAACAAATAATTAAACACTACCACTAGATACTTATCCAACTCCTCTGCATTATTTATGTCATATAAATCCATCATTAAATACATTTTTATTAGTCTTTAATAGAATAAAATTTAAAACTTATATAAAATTAAAATTACCAAAAACACAGAAAACAGTTATCTTTTTTATTTGTTCTCTACAAAAAAGAAACAAATGACGATCTCATTTCTGGTCAACAAGAGTTGGATTCTAGTAATGATCCTTCTTGTGGAAGGTGAAGAGGGAGGGGATAAAGCAGTAAATGAAGGGCTCAGGAATGTAAGTTGCAAAGGGTATATACGTAATTTCCAAAGTCAATGAGTTTGAATAAAGAGAAGCGGCTCGATAAACACGGACTCCATTATTATTCAACAATATTCAATTCATTCACCTTCCTTCTCTTCCCTCACTCTTTCTTTATATTTAAACCTCTTCCTCTCTCTCCTTATCACACAAAACATATCTCTCAACGACCAAGATTGAGAGAGAATTAAAAAAAACAAGACACAGATCATCAATCTTCAAACTCGAGTTTCTCCCAAGTGTTAAAAAACTAAACCATCATGTCTTGTTCCGTCGCCGTCTGCAACTCCCCAGTGTTCTCCCCTTCGTCCTCTCTTTTCTGCAACAAATCTTCTATACTCTCTTCCCCTCAAGAAACAATCTCTCTCACTCTCTCTCATCTCAAACCCACCGCTTCCTCTCCCTCCTCCTCTCCTTCCGCCGCCGCCTCCCCTAAATCTCCCTTCCGTCTCCGTTTCCAAAAACCACCGACCGGATTCGCTCCCGCGCCGTTAGTGTTGGGATCAGACTCCGTCTCCACCGGTCAATCCCCTTCCGCTTTGAAGAGGAAACGACCAACAAAGCTAGATATACCCATCGGCACCGCCGGTTTCTCATCTCCGGCGTCGGAGGAAAGCAGAGAGGTGGAGAGGGAAGGCGACGGTTACTCTATTTACTGCAAGAGAGGAAGGAGAGAAGCTATGGAGGATCGTTTCTCCGCTACGACCAGTCTCCAGGGAGATCGCAAGCACGCGATGTTCGGAGTTTACGACGGCCACGGAGGAGTCAAAGCGGCGGAGTTCGCCGCCAAGAACTTGGATAAAAACGTTTTGGTGGAGGTGGCTGGTGAGAGAGACGAGTGTGAGATAGCAAACGCGGTGAAACGCGGTTATTTAGCCACAGACGCTGCGTTTCTTGACGGGGAAGACGTTAAAGGCGGTTCCTGCTGCGTCACGGCTATGGTTAGGGACGGGAACCTCTTTGTGTCCAATGCTGGTGATTGTCGCGCTGTGATGAGCGTAGGAGGCGTCGCGGAGGCTCTTTCTTCCGACCATAGGCCGTCTAGAGACGATGAACGGGAAAGAATCGAAACCACGGTGAGAATCTAACGTTTTTTTTTTTGTTATAATCTGTAAATAAGGAAAGTTTCTAATAATAGTTTTAATTATTTTTTTGCAGGGTGGATATGTGGATACGTTTAACGGTGTTTGGAGAATCCAAGGCTCTTTAGCTGTGTCAAGAGGGATCGGTGATGCTCATCTCAAGAAATGGGTTATAGCCGAACCGGAGACAAAGATGTTGAGAATCGATGAGGAACATGAGTTCTTGATCTTGGCATCGGATGGTCTATGGGACAAAGTGAGTAACCAAGAAGCGGTGGACATTGCTCGTCCCTTTTGTGTAGGAACCGAGGTGAAGCCATTGTTGTTAGCCTGTAAGAAGCTGGTCAATCTATCGGCTTCACGAGGCTCATCGGATGATGTTAGTGTGATGTTGATCCCTTTGCGTCAGTTCATCTAGAAAGAGAGGGAGAGATTCTTGGAGGGCTTCCTTTGATTTAGCTTTTATTTAGAATTTCAATAATTCATTTATTTATTCTTTCTAACTTAGTTATGAGCTCCATGTGGCCGATGTACTTGTATGGATTGAGCACTGGTCGGATTTAATCTAATTATCAGTTAAGTTATTATTATTTTCTATACATTTCAACACACAAGTGAGACTTTGTTGCTAAATAGAAGAGAATTGACCAACCTGAGAACAAAACTGCATTGTGTAGTTGTATTTTTTTCTTTCACTAGATAAGGTGTGTAAAACTTTTGCCCCCCAAAAAAAGGGTGCGTAAAACAAAACTTGATGTCTCATCGCGTGAGCCACATTAGAGGCTGATCAGGATTCAGGCCTTATCACTGGGTTCAAAACAGTCCAATACAGCATTTTTGATAATTGTAAAACTTTTTATAATTAGCGTTGGGCCTTAAAGAAATTTTGTACTTGTTGGCCCGGCACTGGGTGATCACAAAGTTGGAGAAGAGTGTAGAAGATTGGTAGTATTTGTTATCTACTTACCGACGAGAACTATCATATAACATATCCCCATTGAACTATAAACTTATGCTAGATTTTCACGAATTGAAAATTACAAATCTCTTTCTCCCTGAATCAATACTTTAAAACTTAATTACTCACTTTCTCCCTGAATCAATACTTCAAAACTTAATTACTCACATACGATAGTTTTAATTGGTTTATTTTTAACCAGACATCTTAAAATCAGTTAAATCAAATCAAAATTCAATTTTTGTATATTTTTTTATCAGTTTCCAATGGTGATGTATTTTTATTTTCTAATAAATACAACAAAATCTTCTTATGTTCTAAAATAAACCCATTAAAATGTTTACATAAGAATGTTTACGGTGATTCAAGTGAGGATTTAATGGGTTTATTTTACAACGGAAGAAGATTTTGTTTTGTTCATTAGAAAAAAAGATATATCACAAATGGAAACTGATCAAAAATTATACAAAAGTTAGATTTTGGTTTGGTTTACTTGATTTTAAGATGTTTGGTTAAGAATAAACCAATTAAAACCACGTATGTGGGTAATTAAGTTTTGAAGTATTGATTCAGAGAGAAAGATGTTTGTAATTTTCAATTCGCGGAGATCTAGTATGAGGTCATAGTTTGATGGGGATCTGATTCTATATTATAGTTCTCATGGGTAAACAGATCGTCTAGAATGAAAGAAAGAATACTGTATGTTTTGGTTTGTGACTGAGTTTGTTATACATCATATCCGCAGATTAGAGCATGCTTTGTGGTCTAGACATGCGTTTTGAAGATATCTTTAAGCTCAGTCGCGTCGTTAAGGTCTCGATTGGTACAAAGACAATAAAGTAGTAACAGTATGTTATAGAAGTGGTATACTGTAGAAACTATATGATTTGATTAGATTTTTTAATAATAGCAGTATATCATTTTAAAATTATCATAAAAGTTAATATAATAATATATTTATTTTATAATAATATTTATATATTTATAATATATATTAATAATATATTTATTATTAAAAATAATGAATCATATTCGTTACAGAAATTATATTATAGTTTATATGTGAAATTTTATTTTTAAAAAAATATAAAATTTATTTTCAAATATTTAATTTATTTTTGGATACAAACATAATTTTTAATATTACTAAATAATTTAATTAATTATATATAATGTATATAAAAAATATTATTATTTATTTATTAGTAGAGAAAAATGATTAATATATAAAATTATCATAAAAATTAATATATGTTATATAATTTATTTATTAGTGTCTAAATAATATATATATGTTTATATATATAAAATATATATATTATGTTGTATTTTTTTATTAAAAATAATGAGGAATATGTGTAATTATATAAATTATACTATATTTTAAATGTGAAATATTGTTCTTTTAAAAAAGTTAAAAAATATTTAATTGCAATTTCTAATTTTAAAAAATACAACTTTTATTATTATTATAAAATATTATATGTTTATATATATAAAAATATATATTATGTTGTATTTTTTATTAAAAATAATGAGCAATATGTGTAATTATATAAATTATACTATATTTTAAATGTGAAATATTGTTCTATATAGTCTAAGTATAAATGCTATTCCAAAAATTTCATATGAGAGCATTGAGTAAAGAACATTTGAAAAGTATTAATATTTGGTAAACATTTTTCCAAATACTTTTTAGGTAAATGTTGATTGGATAATAAAAAACATAATGTTTATACTAATTCTGTGCCAATTAATCCCGTAGTTACCTTAAGATTTAGAAGATGCACCACACTAATTTAAAGAGCATCGAAACTTCAATCAGTACAACAGAAACGTATATATTCATTTAACTATAAAGCTTCTTTTTATTAGCTTGAATCTGCGAATCCAACATGAATGATGATATAACTTTTTGATCGTTCACTGCTGATAGACACTCACGCCAACCCATTTGATCCATGGGTTCATTTATGATGATATAACTTTTTGATCGTCCACTGCTAATAGGCACCCACGGCAACCCAATTGATTCATGGGTTCATTTCCTGTGATGGATGGTGTTTTAATTTTTTGGAAGTTCGAAAGTCTTGTTTTATTGACCCTGGAATCATTACATTATATTTTTACATGTTTTGGCATTATTCACACCATATCTTGACTCACTTTCTAATAAGTAACTTATCATTCCACTACTTCATTTTAAACACGTTTAACTTTGAAATTTTAAACATATGTGTGCTCGAAAAGATACGCGCACCTTGGTAACATATATAACTAAATTAATTTTTTTAGTCTTCTATATACAACAAATCGGGATATCAAAGGATGAATTGTATATGAGATATAACGTGAAATCGACATGACATGTGATGCTGGTCAAAGAGTCACTCTCCAATATTGTTTCGAAGTGGAAGCAAACAAGGTTCAAGAGTACACTATTGAGAAGAGTAAAGAGGGCCAAGAGGCCATTCGCCAAAAAAAATTTATCAACGTTGGGCCAAATTCAAAACCAAATAACCCGGAATGAATATTTTTGTTACATAACTTTTAACTTTTGTTATCAGTTATATTTCTGTTTCAGCCTATTCATTCATTGGTGCTTTCTGCATTTAATCTTGATAGACATTGAAGCTAAAACAAATTACCTAAGAAATCTTATTTATACAGCACACATCCTAACAATATTGATGAGTGTTGTCATGAATTAAACCCGTTAGCTTTCGATGCATTTGATGAAATAGTTTACAAATTGTGTGGTGTTGAAGCGCATCATTTGCAAAAGATTATGAGTATTATAACAGAGGAACAAGGACCAAAGAAAACAAGTGTTTCTTAAAGAATGCTCTGTTTTTTTCTTATTAAAGCCTATGACCACAAGTCTACAAGTACCACTTTTAAATAGATCAAGCTACCACTAAAATCCTAAAAAATACTGAGCTTCCTATATACTACGAAGACTTATTCTAAACCACAACAAACTTAAACTAATCCAAAAGACTCAGACACTAAACTTTATACTTAAATGAGACTAATCACACACGAATTGCAAGTTGAAATGATCCGAAGAATAGAAACATTGAAAATAGCTTACTGGATTTTACGAGTCAGCCAGAGAAGTTGAAAGCTGGAAGCGAAAAATGTAGTGGATATGGCAGTTTAAGAGGTCAAAATTGTTGAACGTCTTACATAGGAAGAAGGAAAAACTTGTATCGCATAACTACAAGCAAAATCCCTCCACCACAAAACAAGTGTATCTCCTTAAAGACATCTATAATGTAGATTATTTGCTTGCTTGGTTAAGTCTTTTAACCAATTAGTCCACTGGTTAAAATTAAAATCCTTAAACCCAGAACACTTGGTCAGCTAAGTCTAGTAGTACAATGACCACATTTTCTGTCTCCACAAGAGTTGGAACCAAACCAGTAGGTGGTATGTTTCTTAGGATATACCACAAAGGCAATCACCTCTAAGCCACTTTTGTTATTTTAAATCAGTGGAAAAAAACGTCATAAATAATTATCATAGACTCAACTATCATAGACTCAACTTTTTTAACATATCGAAAATTAGTTTTAAAAAAAAAGAAGTTTTTTAACATATCAAATGAATATTTCTTGTGCGGTGATAATGATTACCGACATGGAGAAGGTTGATAAAGGATAAGACTAACATATAAGAAAAACAGGATTGTGTTTGTGAAAAGAGGAAGAAGACAATGGTCAAAGTAAGATCGAAAAAACAACACGTGAAAGATAAACACATGTTTTTGTGTTGTAGGCGGAGAACACGTTGCTGTTTTTTTGTTCTCTCAATGGACCCCAACTCGTCTCATTGTTAAGCCTCTCTCTCCGTTGTTTGCTTTTTTCTAATTCAGTTTAGTCCCACACACATCATGTGTTCCACCAATTCAATTCAATGTAACGGAACTAAATGTCTGTTCACTTACTTTTAGCTTCTATCTGTCGAATTAATTTCATTGTTCCCCTTATTGTCAAAAACAAATTATATAAAGATGAAAGCCTAACAATCAACACTATAACCTGTACACTATCGACATTTGAGTTGATCGACTTAAACCTAACTTTACTTGTAATTTTCTTCATATGTTTATTTAGAAAAATTAATGGTTTTCACACCTATATCATCTCATTACAAGTCAAAGTACATTTCATTTTGTTTCGCTTATCACATTGTTTACAAGACGAATGACGCTTGAAAAGAAAAAGTTGTTGAGTTAGACTTCTCAACAAATCAATAATTTTAAAAATAATCAAACACTTGCATCGCATGCAATTAAATATGCATAATATATATCAAAGACATAGTTTGTTACCTACAACTGGCCATTGGTTGGCATTTACTATTCTTTAGACGTTAGAAGTTGTGTCTTTGTGTGTGGTCCATCATTTTGTTAAATTGCATATAAACTATAGTGAACCAAATCATTTACTATTCTTTATAAGTTAGAAGCTGTGTCTTTGCGCGTGGTCCCTCGTTCTGTTAAATTGAATATAACTAATAGTGAATCAGATCATTACTTCTGTAATAACCTGATTGTAATTCAGGAATTAGTTAAATGAATTGAAGGGAATCGTAAATACGTAATACGTGCAAACAATTTGAATTATCTAATTCTAAGCATTGGTTTAATGTTCTAATCGAAAATGCAATTGTCTAAAACTTTTTATCGAAATATTTGATAACCTTCAGACTTACTCGGATGCTTGGACGATCTGAAGTAACAATTAGATTGATTGTTTGCTTCCATCTATTTAATGAAACTAGTTGTATTAAGGAAAAACTATCAAAATCTTACAGTTTTGCTTACATTTTGACTTTAAATCATTGATAACAATATTTTTTTTATCAATTAGAATACATGTAATTATGCATTCAACTTTGTGACGGTCCATAACGCCTCAACTACGCTTATAATGCTTTGGACTGTATACATTCTTTAGTTTTGTACTGCTGCAACGTTTACTACCGTTCGGATCGTTATCTTTGTGATACGAAGATCAGTGTGCATGATCTTGAATCAATCTTATATAGAAAAAGTTTGAAGATGATATTGTCAGAGGGTTCTTCCGAGTTGCAATAACGTAAGCATGTTATGTTTGTCGGCCACCTTGATTTCGATTTCTTTTTGCTTCGTCTTGTCTTCTCCTCCCACGACATTTATCAGCAGAAACAGCAACTGATGTCTCTATTGTGTTTTCCTCTTTGACATGCATCTTAGTACCCAGAATATTATTTATTAATTTAAAGCAAATCAACGTAAATAACCACGGGCTTTGATGTCCAACAGTTCCTTATAGGCCTAGTTCCTTACTATCTTAGCTTTTTCTTTTAATAATTTTCTCCATTCCAAGTAAATACATGATCTAATTACTTTAATCATGAACCATACATGTATAGAGTCGATTTCTATTAGAAAAGAACATTAAAAGTTTAGTAGCAATGAATGACATGTTGCACTTGCATTGTCTAATATGTTTTCCAAGTGGATTGATCGGTCTGTAACTTGGTAATATGGTATGGGTCCATCAAATCTGAAGATAATATCTTATTTTTTGGACTCTATTTGAAAGGATATACAACAAGTGGCGCACCGTTAATATAGTACTTCACGTTCACGGAAGGGCACACCCAAGAAGCAAACAAATAGAATACAATTTTATTTTTACAAACATACATATCTTTGCCTATATATGATAGTTGCGGCGGATTTTTTCCCCAAAAAGTGACGTTTTTTTTGAATAAGTAATTAACATAGTTGGATGGAAAGTGAACAGAAGCAACAAAAGTATTTGAAAATATCAATTAAGGAGTTGCCAAAAATAATTAATGAAACGATTTTTGTTAACTTATGAATTAATAACTATTAAATCTATTAAAAATATATGAGCCTTTTTTTTTTCTTGGTCAACAGTATTCGTAATAGCCGTTCAAATTAAAATATCATTTTTATTTTTATTTTTCATTCCTCACGGATCACGTTGAGTAAATTATCTGTTTTATTACCTAACAAAAGAACAAAAAAAATATATTTGTTGGCGGATCTAGGATGAATTTCTACCCGGGGCAAAACAACAAAACACTAGTAATATATTTATAAATCCAAATTTTTATCTAGGGCATTGTTAAATTTGTAAGCAAAATTACACCAAAAAAAAAAAATCATGGGGGGCAGGTGCCCCACCCACTCTCCACCTAGTTCCGCCATTGTTTGTAGAAGAGGTGGTGGTGGAGGTGGTGAAGGCACGTCATAGTGCAATTTTCAAGCCGAAAACATAAGTGAGTTAGGACAACTGGAGTCTTTGGTTCTCTGTTGGAGATCGTGGACCAACAATTTCGTGACACGTAAGGTTCACAAGTTAGCCCCACCAAAGATTTAGATGCGCAAGTGATAAGTGAATAGTAGTGATGAACCTTTCTCTCAGTCTCATGTCTCATATCAACTTCTTTGGACAACAAACTCTGTCGCTACGCGCTACTAACTCGCTTCCGGTTTTGATTCATTCGGTTCACTAATTAGAATCCCATAATTTACGTACACAGTACACACAGTGTACACAGCCGATGGCCCCTCGTCGACATTGATGATTGAGACAATGTTTAAGCGCTAATAATTAGTTGGTTTAGTTACAAAAAAAAAAAAAGAAAACAATTAGTTGGAGGATCAAAAATGTTTAAAGTGATTAGAGCATTAATGATATAAATACAATTTTGAACGACACGAAGACATGCATGCAGCTTACTGGTTTTTATTAGTACGATCGTTATATCCCATCTGATTTCACATTTGTTAGAGACAGTGCTACATAGTATTTGAATGATATATTAAAAGTTTGTTGGAACACAACGTTACATGTTATTTGATGAGATACTAAAAAATATGTTTTACTATAATGGATATATAAAATAAGAAGACTGCATACTTCCATCTTATTCTCTGATTGTATTGTTTTTAACTAACAAAGGTTCTTCTTTAAAAAAAACTCACAAAGGTTCTGAAAACGAAATGTATATAGATATTTTGCAATGTTCTAAGAATTAATGTAGATGACATATCGGTCATAAATAAAACGAGTTTTCTAAAACGATTTGTAGAAAATTGGTTTAGACGAAGTCTACGCATCAACCTAACCGCAAATCTCATATAAATCACATAATCACCGTTTAACTACTTTTTAAATATTGGTATTTTAAGACAAAAGATCAAGAATTCAAAGTAGTTAATCGTACAAATTAACTACTTTGCTATCAAACTCTTTCACTTTTTAGGAGAAGTATCCAAAATAAAATCGATTTACAAAAACGCATAGAGTTTAGATACTACAAATTTACAACTGTCTACATTGTTTCATTATGCCACTATAGTTCATTATCTGAATTCAAATCTGGCATAGAGTATGTAATGTATCTGTAAGTTTATAAATAAAGAAAAAGTTCGATGTATATGTTTGGCTTGTTACGTGGTTGATTTAAAGTATCACGATTTCAAGACGAGTGCTTGATTGGTAGATTACCACCGTCTATTCCATGTCTGATCGTGTAATCAACTCCAGTCAACAAAATAAAACTATAACGCAGACAACCAACAACAAAAGTCAACAGAAAATCAACTGACACGTTTAGTTAGTTTGCCGCTCCCACGATTCGTTATAGAGATTTCATCACGCTAATGGCTTCAAAACAGTAAATTAAAACAACTGTTTTCTTGGTTGAAATTCAAAAGAAAAGAAAAAGAAAAAATTGACAAAAAGAACTGACATTGCTCGAAAACTAGAGCCGTTGACTTATCAAGTTTTATCCTTTTGGGGTAACGAATCAACGGACCTGATGAGACCGCAACTTGTTCCTTAAGGATAATATGGAAAGTACTCGGTTTATTACCGAACATCCCGAAAACTTCTCCAAGTGTCGTACTGACGTCATCAAACTGTTTCTTCTAATTATCCATTTGTCTAATTAAAAATATACCTAAACTTACATTTCCCAAGTGGGAAACTTTTTTAAAATGGCTTCACGATTTCAAAATTCAGAAAGACAAGTAAAAAAGAAACGTCCACGTTGGAAACTAATAACAATTCCAACTTTATTTCTCGTTCACATTTGACACTTGAACACACCTATAAATACACCGTCGTGTGCCCTTGAGAATTTACACACGAAAGTTAGTTCAAGCAGACATGGAGAAACAGAGCAATTTTTCATCTTCATCACCTTCTTGGGTTCGAAGTTCTTGTATCGGCCAAGGATGTTTCGGAACAGTAAGCAAAGCCGTTAGTAAAATCGACGGTGGAGTTTTCGCAGTTAAGTCAGTAGATCTCGCCACGTGTCTTCCCGCTCAATCCGAGTCTCTGGAGAACGAAATAACAATCCTCCGCTCTCTCAAATCTCACCCGCACATCGTGACGTTCCTCGGCGACGACGTAACTAACGAAGGAACGACGTCGTTTCGGAACCTCCACTTGGAGTATTTACAAAAAGGTGACGTGGCTAAAATCGTTGACGACGAAACTCTCCTCCGCCGTTACGTTTGGTGCCTCGTCTCCGCTCTCCGTCACGTCCACGCCAACGGAATCGTTCACTGCGACGTGAAAGCGAAGAACGTCCTCGTCGCCGACGGCGGAAGCTCCGTTAAGCTGGCGGACTTCGGATCGGCGATGGAGTTGGAGAAACCGACGGTGGAGATCGCGCCGCGTGGAAGTCCGCTCTGGATGGCTCCGGAGGTGGTTAGGAGAGAGTACCAAGGACCGGAGAGCGACGTGTGGTCGCTCGGTTGCACGGTTATCGAGATGCTCACCGGAAAACCGGCGTGGGAGGATCACGGTTTCGACTCGCTGAGTCGAATCGGGTTTTCGAACGAGTTACCGTTTATTCCGGCGGGGAGTTCGGAGCTCTGCCGTGACTTCTTGGACAAATGCTTGAGGCGAGAGAGGAGTAAGAGATGGAGTTGCGATCGGCTTCTGGAGCATCCGTTTCTATGTCAAGATCATCACTCGTTGTTAGCCACCGAGTCGTCTCCGCGTTGTGTATTGGACTGGGTCGACTCGGAGTTCGAAGAAGAGAGGGATGAGTCAAGTGTTGAATCTATGGTTTCAGCGGTGACGAGGATCAGTAAATTAGCAACGACCGGAGGGGTAATTTGGGAATCTAATGGTTGGACTGAGGTTAGAGGCAATGGTTTCGAAGAGCCAGGGGCAGAATGGGAATTAAACTCATCGGATTCTACCGGTGATTCCGGTACACGGACGGTGGATGAAGACTCGGAGTTGACGTCGGTGATAACGTGTGAAATATTGGTGTTGGTATTGTTATTGGTGGTAGAGAATATTCAGATATATGCCACGTTTTACACCAATGTTTTTATTCGTATTCTGTGTTGTTGTTATCATTATCAAAATATTAATAATAAGAAGTTGCGCAAAATTGTTTCGTTCATTTTCAGCCTTAACTTTTTGTTCGGTATTGCATGTGATTCGGATCGGTCTATCTATCTCTCGAGAACTCTTTTACGTGGTGTGAATTGTGATGAGTGTCCTAACGCTCAACTGTTACCTCCTTTTGTTGATAACTCTCACTTGCACAAACCAATTTTGGTTTGGTAGCTTCTTGGCCTAATACTTTTTAAAGGTAGTTAGCGAGGAACTAAGACCACATAATTAGTATGAGTAGGCCTAATTGTGATGAGGGGTCAACATGGAACTGTCAGCACAACTTTAATTTTGTTACTGGTGTAGATAAAACTGGAAGGTCGAATAGTCGATTTGAACTATAAACTTCGATCAGTGTTAGAAAAAAAATAAAGCATGCAATAAATAAGGAAATAAGAAGAGAATGGAAGATGACTATGATGAAGTGGTGGGCAATGCTGGCTTACCACAACTCCACAAGTTTTTAATAATGAGAATGGTATCAACATAAATTATACGCTAAATGTTAAAGAATATTCCACTTTCTTCAGAGCTTATCCCTAACTCAAAACAATTTTCCTTTTGTTTTTCTTGCTGGCTACGATTGTATTGGATAATTGGCCTAATTAAGATTAAAATACTTTTCTTTTTTTTGGTATTTGGTTACCCCGCACGAATACTAGATATTTAATTGCTTACGATTTTATAACAATCATTTTTGTTCTCACCTAATTACGTACTCGAGACTCAACATTTTTCAGATTATTTATACATCGCCAACTTAGCCAATATCTACGTGGTAGTGTCGTCTTTTTTTTTTTTGATCAACATGTGGTAGTGTCGTCAAGTTCAGGAATATGACCAACGATAGATGAAAAAAAATCCTAGATATTTTTTGACTAGAAACTGTACACTAGCCATTCATAAAATCTCTTAAAATTTAACAAAAGACAGGTACATAAGAGAAAACATAATAGTAAAATAAAATAAGTAAATAAAAAGTTTGATAGTTCTTTTCTATGTTTATCAAAGATTAGATAATATTTGTTTTGAAGCTAACAACTAAAAGAAATAGTTCTTTTTGTTGAAAAAGCTTCTTTTTAAAAATAGATAAAATAAATGAAATCCTATTATAAATCAATGGATTTTTTCTCCTCTCTCAAAAGTTTTTTTTTCTTATAAAAATAGATTTAGAATAATCGGTGGCTTAAAGATTAATTATCATAGCCAATTCCTTTATTTTTGTGCTTGTAATTTGTTTTTATGTAGCTTCCCTTCTTCATCTTCTCTTTATTTCTCAGCATATTTGAAACTTTCGTTATGATTAATTCTTAGATTTGTGGATTTAGTTTTGTCGATGTGATAGCTTCCGTTTGGTATTGATCTTTTGTGGTTTTGTTTGTTTGCTTTGGCAAAACTTGTCCTTCTTCTGTTTTGTCTTTCTGTTGTTTGCTTGTTGATTAAGAGTGATTGAATCCGATTAATTTTTCTATGATTTTAGAGTTTGTCTTAGTTAGTATCTATCTCAATAAAGACAATGTGACGAGCAGAACAAAGTTATCATACTTGAGAAGAAGCTGGTTTCAAGTTACCTCTCCATATATCCCATCTACCAAGAAGTAATTCTCACGGCCGTTGAATAGGCGATCGCCCCGGTTTGTCTTCTCCCCATGTTGTTCCTTTGTAGGTTTTCTTTGTGGAAACAATATAAAACAGTTGAAGTTTAGTAGTAGCTTTCAGATGAAAGTGCGGTTGAGTAGGAGGATTTTACTCGGAGGTGTTGTTTCTTCTAAATTTTCAATGTTGGGTTTGTTGAATTTGTTTTCATGTTGTTTTGCGAGGTTCGGATGAGTTCTTCTTCTTTTCATCAAAAAGTCTTATGTGTTGCATGCTTTCTTGCGTAATTCAATGCAACAATTATGACTAGTGAAAGATAAGTAAGTCCAAGTTATATTATTTTATTTGGTTTAATTTTGTTTCAGTTTTAGTCTTTAGGGCTTATTTGCCAAAAAAAAAAAAAAATTTAGTTTTCTAGTGAGAGAGTAGAGAGAGACAGGGAGAGAAATGAAGAGAGAAGGGGAGATTAGTTACTTAATTTTATTTTTTTTCATGGCTATTTCACCTAATATCCCTAGTCTTTATTTGTATGTATTCTTGTTTATTATTGTTGTGTCTGATTTTGAGCCGTATACTATGGTAATACCGAACCATACCGAACTGTTTTGAATTTTTGGATACGATTCTATAGAAATTGTAAGAATTGATATGAATAGGTTTATAACCGATTAAACCAAATAAACTGAACAAAACTGATCAAAGTAAAAACATATAAATATATAATTTATATAATGATACATGATAACTGATTTGTTATATAAGTTCATTTTTTTGTAATAATTAATATCAAAATATTCTGAACTTATTTTTTTTGTTATAGTCTTCTTTTCATTTTCTTTTCTTTTTGCTATTGATTAACTGATCCATTGAAGGTATGTCTTAATATTTTTTTTTCTTTTTCTACAACTCTAGATTTGATTTAATTTTGCATGTTTTATAAAAGTTATGAAATTAAATGATAGCATGAATGTTCTTTAGAAAAACATAGAAGACAAGAAGAACTGTAAAGAAAAAAAAAACAGAGTCATTAATAGTTTGTTTGTTATTCTTTGACATTCTATTATTTACGAACATCCAGTTCTTTTTTTAATAAATTATGGTTTTGCCAACATACAATTTAAAAAAATTCATATAATATGAAACTAAACCAAATAATAATATTTTTTGGTAGAAAACCAAATAATTCGAAAATCGATAGTAGAGAAACCGAACTAAACGTTTCAGTATGATAGCTACTTTTTATAAACCGAAATCCATATTGAACATGTCTATTTATTCTATGGAGATTTCTATGTATGTTAGAGTCATGATATTTGAACCATGTATTATATCCAGTGTTATTAATGAAAATCAGATGAGGAAAAATTGTATAAAAGTTTAAGATCAGACTGAATCAAGGATCAAAGATTCTGAAGAAAAACATAAAAAGTAGGATATTGCCTTTTCTTCACTTAGATCAAGCATTTGTCCTCGATTATATATAGTTTTTTTCATTTGAAAGAGGCTTAAATCGAACGAGCATCCGGTTTTCTGTTTGAAAGGGCTTATCAAACAGACCATCCGGTTTTCTATTTGAAAGGGCTTATCAAACAAACCATCCGGTTTTCTATTTGACCCAATCGGTTTAGACTCTGGATTAATTCATTTTCTCACCAAATCTCTTCTTTCTTTAATCAGCTTCCCACAAGCGAATTCTTCTCCGCCGATCCTCTTCTCAGTCTCGATCGACAGTGCGTTCAGGTACGATGTCTCTTCCCTGAGTTGTTTCTGCCCATTGCCTTATTCTCTTCTTCTTTTTTTCCAGCGTGATCGATTTGTATTTGATACGTCTAATGGAATCGCATTTCTGAATCCATCTCTCAACATTTGTCAATCTGCGAATTTTTTTAGCGCAGTTGTGTCTTCTGCTTTGGATTTCGATTTGTTATCTTCGATTTGTGCGTTAACGAATTGATTCTATGAGCAAAAACTATGATCGTTAACTGCGATGTTGTGTATGTGTAATTCGACAATACATTGGATATATATTGTGATGTGATCTCTGCTTCTCCAATTGTTTCTTCCCTAAACTCTGTGTGTTCTTATTCAACACCTTTATATTGTTTGCTTTTTAAGAAACAGGGAGAGAAAACATGCCGGTCAAAAAATCGAAACAGGTCACGAGGACACCATCCACGATGTCCAAATGGATTACTACGGAAAACGAATAGCAACCGCCTCATCCGACTGTACAATAAAAATAACCGGCGTCAGCAACAACAACGGCGCATCGCAGCACGTAGCTACACTAACCGGCCACCGCGGTCCCGTCTGGGAGGTCGCATGGGCCCACCCAAAATTCGGATCAATGCTAGCCTCATGCTCCTAAGATGGCCAAGTCATACTCTGGAAAGAAGGCATCCAAAACCAATGGATACAAGCTCATGTCTTCACGGACCACAAAACTTCAGTCTTAAACCTTGAATGCCTGAATCTTTCCACACATTATGTATACTGATTCGTGTTTGTCTAAATTAAATCCCCAGAAACTAGTGTGGAGTTCATTCACTTTGGTAGTGCTTAACTCAAAGGTAAAATCGCAAAAAACCTTCAGAGTGTCATTTACTCACACTTTAAACCTTAAAATATTTTCACTAATATTTTTAAGTTTCAAAGTGATATTTTTATCTCAATAAAAACATCTAAATTAAAAAGTTGACCGGGTACAAGTAAAAAATGATATGCTAGATTTTTTTTTTTTAAATAATTATTTAATTAATAAAATAAACAAAGTTAATAAATTTTTTGAAATTTAAATAAAAATCAGAAATAATAAAAAAACTTAAAATTAAATAAAAATCAGAAAATATCCAAAAACAAATGTCCAAAAGGATCATAATAATCATATAACATATAAACGGGCCAATTAGCGGCCCATAGATTCCAGAATAAACATGAAATTAATCCTATGATTCGTTTCTATGAAAGGACCGTCTCGTATAAAAAGTATATTCACATTTTTCCTTTGTACCAAGAGTCTCTCTCCTTGAATCTCGTACGTGTACAACTGAACCAACCAACCAGCAAAGCTTTACTAAGATGGCGACTACTAGCATTAGCAACGAACCATCGCATGAGCACAGAGTCGAGGAGGAAGAGTCCGGAGCCGCCAACGAGGATGAAGACACCGGTGCTCAAATAGCTCCGATCGTCAAACTCGAAGAAGTCGCCGTCTCTACCGGCGAAGAGAACGAAGATACAATCCTCGATCTGTAAGCATATCCTCTCTATCTTAGATCTAAAAACCGTACTGGATCTGATTTGTTGATTGAAATTGGGAATCTGTTAGGAAATCGAAGCTGTACAGGTTTGATAAAGATGGGAGCCAGTGGAAGGAGAGAGGTGCGGGTACGGTTAAGTTCTTGAAGCATAAGGAGTCTGGGAAGATTCGTCTCGTTATGAGGCAATCCAAAACTCTCAAGATCTGTGCTAATCATCTCGGTACAGATTCTCCACGACTCTGTTGGTGGCCTGGATGATCTATATTTTTGGATCTTATGGAATGGATTTTGTTTGCAGTTACATCGGGGATGAGTGTTCAGGAGCACGCAGGGAATGACAAGTCTTGTGTATGGCACGCTCGTGATTTCTCTGATGGGGAGCTCAAGGATGAGCTTTTCTGTATCCGCTTTGCCTCTGTTGAGAGTGAGTCTCACATTTATCTATTCTCTATTTTTTTGCTCGGTTTATTCGTTGGAACTTATTTTGTGTAGCACTGACGTTTCTCGTTTCATGTGAATCTGGTCATTGTGGCATCCTTTGTAGTAGCTTAAACCTTATGTTTTGATCCTTGTTAGGAATCTAGACTGCATTTCTTTTACTTATTAGCTTAGAAGATCACATGAGTACGTAGAACCCTAGTGATATTGGCTTTTAAAATTGAGTAATTCCATAATGGAGTTGATTTTTTTACTTTAATCCCACTCCGCATTTTAGTTTATTGTAGATTTTTAAATAGGATAATGATGGAAAATATTTTGTTTCGAAATTTCATTTTAAAGTGGAAAATAGAGTGGGGCTGGAGACTCCCCTCTTAGATATGTTAGTTGCTTGATTGGATCTCTCGTAGAATTTGGAGTCATTTTCTACTCCTAAATAGAATTTGGAGTAAAATCTTATCCAACCAACCCCACTTCATTCTTTTACTCCATATTATGGAACTTTAAAATAGCATTACTCCAATTTCTCATTCATTATTCTATTGTTACTCAAAAGTGGAGTATGGCTGGAGTGAATTTAACTTATAGAATCTATTACGGTGATCAGAAATCTTGGTAAGAGTATTATATTCGTTACCTGATGATAACCTTTTGATGGAGGCAGTCAAAGTAGAGGTCTTTGGGCTTCTCCGTAGATTCAGAAGTTAACTATATAGCATCATCTACAAAGACAAAAGCAGTTCGTTCAGTGCTCTAGTGTAGTAACTAGCATCTCAATGTAGACTGGTATTGAGTTGTGTAGTATTGGAATCTTGTTTCTCTGAATATTTTCCAATGTTTTGTGTTTCTCAAACGATTTACCACTCTGTTGACTGGTTAAAGTCATTGTAGAGCTGCATAAATAATCAAGTCTTTATTTACTTTATCAGACTGCAAAGTATTTATGGAAAAGTTCAAGGAAGTTTCCGAATCTGAAGAAGAGAAAGAAGAGAGCAAAGACGCCTCTGAGACCGCTGGTCTTCTTGAGAAGTTAACAGTGGAAGAGAAGGAGGAGAAACCAGTGGAGAAGGTAGCATCAGCAGAGGCTGAGAAAACTGTTGAAGAAAAGAAAACTGAAGACCCTGTGCCCTCAACTTGAGATGCATATGCATAGATACACAATACAAGGCCAGGTAATATACAGCCTGGTGTGTCTGAAATCCATCCAAGACCTGCCTTCCTTTTTTTTATAAATTTGATACATGTTTTATCAGTGTCATCATGTTCACTTACTGAGCCGCGTTGAGTATATATATGTTAGTGTCACAAGAGTATCACATGTGACATTTCCATATGAGAGAAGAGTTTTTCAGGTTTGTTTTGGGATTCGTCAGCTGGAAAAATATCCCTTTGTTTAGTATTGTTTTTGGAAACAGTGTGGAGTAGTCAGAACATGCTCCATTTTTATTCTACAAAATATATGCATTGGATTTGTGTTTTTTTTTAAATTACAAGTCGTGTTGCATCACATTAGAGCCTTGCATTTCGATAAAGAAGCCTTGCTTGAGTTTAGTTCATTCATCTGATAAAATAATGGCGAGAGATAGACAGCTGTGATAAAATCGAGTTACTTGATTGGATCATAATGGACGGTTGTTACATGACCGGGTCCGATCATCCGACCGCTATTGGAGTCCTCAAAAATCGGCTACTAGCGTATCACCAAGTTACTTGTTAGTAAAACGGTAATAGTGGTCGGTAGCGACAAGGCCGGCTTATAGATTTGGATAAGACTCTTTGGCACAGACCTCTAAATTGTAAAATGGTTATTTGTATTACAATGGGACAAATTACAATTCAGGTTCGGTCAAGTGTCACAGTAGTTGACCGGACCTACACATTGGTATTCTTGGAAGATTGTGGCACTGGCTTTAATCGGACTTGGATCAGAAATTAGGAACGCCATTAAACCCCATGGGACTTTATCTCTCTCCCTTTCGTACGTACATACTCTTGATATTCTGTTCATTGTGTGTTAACTTCATTTCAAATACCACAAAATATCTAGGAGTTTTTGTAGGATTTTTCTTTGTAAATGATATCTTCTTAATTGGAATATGTATTTTTAAACAACACTAAAGGCTAAATAATATAAATAGTATTTATCGAGAAATTCAAAATTTTTGTATGGGTTAACCCACATATTTCAAGATAAATTAACAAATATGATATTAATTTTTAATGCATATTTGAATCATGCACTAACATAATATGAGGATTAAAGAGGATTGAGACCTTAGGTGCTCTTATTTCTCTAGAAAATAGAGATTTTATAGGGGTTAGTATATTAATTAAGTCGTATATGAAGTATACAAAACTATACTCTGGAAAATTATAAATGATGCTCATGTACCATTTAAATATGTTTAGAATACATTAATATACATTTATAGTGTGGTTAGATATTAAAATAAAACATTAATGAGGCTAAACTTTAGTATATTAGCATTTATTGAAAAAAAACTCGATCTTTAGTAAGATAAATTAGAAAATATAGTATTTTAATGTCTAACTTTATAATGCATTGACATGTAATGATAATTGTAGAGATTTGGGACCTCATTTGTCTCTGTTTCTCCATTACTTATATATTTTATAGGAGTTATTTCACTGAACTAGGTGGAACATGAAGTTTTATTAAACTACTCATTAAAATATTAGAAACGTTGTCCGTGTACCATGAAAATAAGTTTAACATCCATTAACATAACTATATATGATAAATATCAAAGAATTTTGATGCCTTAGTTTTCCAAATGTTTCCAGATAATAGAAATTTTATAGGGTTTAATTCAATGATTTTGGTGGTATATAGAGTTTTATTAATTTTTTCAGTTAAAAATTAGAAATGATGACGATATACGATGAACATAAGTTTAGTACATTAATATAAATTTTGAAATTTGGTTAGATTTTTTTAAACAAAACTAAAAAGGCCAATATATAACAATTTGTCGGAAAACTCAATCTTTTTGGAGGGGTTAACCCACATACTTACTATAAATTAGGAAATAAGATATTTTTGTTCAATGAATTTCTGTATCATGCAATGACATAATATTGAACATAAAAAGGGTTGAGACCATAAATGTCCCGTGTTTCCATAAAATAGAGTTTTTATAGGGGTTGGTCTATTTATCAGGTGATATCTGAAGTTTGAGTAAATTACTCATTGGGGAATTAGAAATGATGGGCATGTACTATGAAAATAAGTTTAGCATACATATATATATATATATATATATATATATATATATATATATATAAATTTGGAGTGTGGTTAGGTATTTTTAAACAACATTAAAGAGGCTAAATAGTATAGATAATATTTATCTGAAAATTCATCTTTCCTTAAGGGGTGGTTAACCCACATATTTCAAGATAAATTAGAAAATATGAATTTTTGTTTTAATGCATAGCTGCATTATGCACTGAAATATTATGAAGATTAACGAGTTTCGAGACATTAGGTGCTCTCATTTCTCTAGAAAATAGAGATTTTATAGGGGTTATTATACTAATTAGGTCGTATATGAAGTTTAAAAAAATTACTCGTTGAACAATTAGAAGTGATGTCTATATACCATCAAAATATGTTTATCATACATTAATATAAATTAGATTGTGGTTAGGTATTTAAAAAAAAATATTAATGAAGCTAAGCTTTAGAATAGATAGCATTTATTGGAAAAAAAAACTCGATCTTTTTGTAAGATAAATTATAAA